CCAGCTACTTGGGAGGCGGAGGCAGGAGACTCGCTTGAGCCCAGGAGTTGGAGGTTGCTGTGAGCTGTAATGCCACGACACTCTGCCCAGGGGGACAGCTTGAGGCTCTGTCTCAAAAAAAAAAAAGAAACAGAGTCTCACTTTGTCGCCCTCAGTGGTATAGTGCCTTGGCGTCACAGCTCACAGCAACCTCCAGCTCATGGACTAAGATGATTCTCTTGCCTCAGCCTCCTGAGTAGCTAGGACTATAGGCACCTGCCACAACACCAGCTATTTTTTGTTGCAGTTTGGCCAGGGCCAGGTTCGAACCTGCCACCCTCAGTGTATGGGGCCGGTGCCCTACTCACTGAGGTATAAGTGCCGCCCAATCATAATTTTTGAATAGCTATCATGTTCAAGATATAACCCTATCCTTACATTGCTTAATGTATATATTTCAGTAATGTAAGCATGACAAGTTAGAGAACTTGATCTCCAAAGCTTTCCAGGGTATGTAACTATACTTTTGTTATTATACCTGTATAACCCCCAGGCTGATATGCAGCAAATTGATCATAACTCACTGTAGCTTGAATTCCTGGGCTCAAGTGATTCTACCTACTGAGCCTCCTGAGTAACTGGGACTACAGGTGTGCACTGCCAGGACCAGCTAATGAAGAGTTTTGGTTTTGGTTTTTTGTTTGTTTTGTTTTGTTTGTAGAGACAGAGTCTCACTTTATCACCCTCAGTAGAGTGCTGTGGCATCACACAGCTCACAGCAACCTCCAACTCCTGGGCTTAGGCTATTCCTTGCCTCAGCCTCCCGAGTAGTTGGGACTATAGGTGCCTGCCACAAACCCGGCTAAGTTTTGTTTTGTTTTGTTTTTGAGACAGAGTCTTAAGCTGTCGCCCTGGTAGAGTACTGTGGCATTATAGCTCACAGCAGCCTCCAACTCCTGGGCTCAAATTATTCTCCTGCCTCTGCCTCCCAGGTAGTTGGGACTACAGGCGCCCGCCACAAGGCCCTGCTATTTTTTGGTTGTAGTTATTGTTTGGTGTCCCTAGGCTGGATTCAAACCCGCAAGCTCCCGTGTATGTGGCTGGTGCCCTAGCCGCTTGAGCTACAGGCACCAAGCCTATTGAAGAGGTTTAAGCAGGGAACGGTGGTGGATCTGCATTTTAGAAGAATCACCTGCTAGTGGTGTGGAAACAGATTAGAGATGGACAGTAGTGAAAATCGGGAAACCAATGAGAAGGCACCCCATAATTCTGTTGAGAAACACTGACCCTGATCAAGAGCAGTAGAAAGGTGTGGACAGAGTCAACTCTGCTATTTTTGGAAGCAGAAATCACTTATTAGACTTAGTGATATGAAGACTAAAGCAGAGTGGAATGAGGCTAATCACCCAGGTTGGATAAATGGAGGAAAATCACATCAATTCACAAGGTAAACATATAATAAAATATTAAACATTTACAAGGGGCTTGGCCCCTATTGCTTGGTGGTTAGGGCTCCAGCCACATGCATTGAGGCTGGTGGGTTCAAACCCAGTCGGGGCCTGCTAAAGAAAAAATAAAAAAAAAAATAGCTGCCATTGTTGTGACAGGGGCCTGTAGTCCTAGCTACTAGGGAGGCTGAGGCAGGCAAATCGCTTGAACCCAAGACTTTGAGGGTACTATGAGCTGTGATGCCATGGTACTCTTAACAAGGGTGACATAGTGACACTTGGTCTCAAAAAAAAACATTTGCAGAGGCTCGGCGCCTGTGGCTCAAGCGGCTGGGGCTCCAGCCACATACACCTAGGGTGGCGGG